CCGGGCAGCCCCCCCTCCGGGCCGCGAGCCCAGGGGCCGCCGCGCCTTGCGTGCACGATGCGCCCCAGGGCGCGACCTCCCGCAGCCCGTGCCCTCAGCCCTCCACCCCCGGCTCCTCTGGGCCCGCTGCCCCCCCACTCTGGCCTGTCCCGCGCCAGGGCTTCCCAGCCGCAGCCCCGGCGCCGCAGCGGGGGGAAGCTACAGAAGGCCTCGAAACGCCAGAGGCTTTGCTGGCAGCAACAGGAGACTTGCCCTTGACTGCCCAGAGCATCCTGCCCAGGCTCCTGGGTCACACAGGGGCAGGGAGGGGATGCCAAAGGGAGTGGGAACTGTGCCGCTCCCACTTGCAGCCTCCAGCACTGAAGGTCCAGGCAGCCAGTTCAGAGGCTGTGCCCCTCACTCCCAGGCTCCACAGCTACGGATGCCCCTTTCCTCCAGGAATTTGTCCAGTCCCTTTTTTGAACCTAGCTACCTGCTTCTAACCCCCCGTTTCTATAAAGCACTGCTCTGTTTTCCTTATTACTGGATTCCAGCTGTCTGGCTGGGCCGAGCTCACAATAGGGGCTTTGTCAATGAAACCTGGAGCCCCTCCGTGCGCCTGCTGGAGAAATGGATGCACTGAGGCTGCAGCCTTGCCAGGTCTTCAAGCCTCCAGCCCCATTCAGGCTGGCATCTCCAACTCGAGCCCTAGCTCCTGTCCTGCCTGCTTTTTTTCCCCTCCCCACTGGTGCCAGCAGGTCAGGAGTGTCTTTTTTTAGAACAATGTCTCAAACGCTAATTAAAGGAAAGATACTGTTACTGGGAGCTGAAACGCTGCCCTGCCACTGGGCTAGAAGGGTTCTGTTCAAAGCATAAAAGCAAGGCTAATACATCTCTTCTCTTAACTTGCTGTTTCAGTGTCAAAATACACCAGGTCCAGCCCTTGCTGGTGGGACAAGAGTTAGAAGAACCAGCCCAGATTTGGTTTCCGACCAGGATAGGAGACTGTCCTCAGTTTCCTTGGAAAACCTGGTACAGACCTTTCCAATTTAGCCGAGCACACTTCCTTCCCTTAAAACTTACCACCACGGCCGTCTGGCTTATCTGCAAAGAATAAGAAATGGATAATAAAAGTCAGCATAAACTTACTTGAGCCAGGCAAGGGCAAATCATTTGTAGGAAAACCCCTAGCAGTAAGGTTCCCCTGACCCAGGCAGTGCTAGCCATGGTCACTTCTCTGGCTGAGCTTTCCCTTCTGTTGCTCTTGATAGATTTTAGGACCCTTAAAACATACAAAAGCCCCCCCAAGTGACTCCTCCAGCAGCAGCAGAAAGGTAACCCCTGCTATAGGTGTCAGTGCCTTCTGTTTATTAATGGATTTAGCAGAGCGTAGTGGGGATTGGAGGAAATCTGAAGGCAAGAAAGGAGGGGACTGAAGGACTCCAGCTCCTTTAACCCTTTGTCCTGCTGCTGCTGCTCTGACCCTGGTCCTTCACCTTCTGTGTGAATTAGACTCCCTTCATCTTCTGCATGAATTATCGAGAGAGAAAAGCAAAGCATGGCGCCTGCAGAAAACTTCTTCCCCGCCAAACCCCCGCCACTTCCTATGGAGGCACAAGAAGTAAATGCTTCTGCGTTAGGCAGTTTGATAAGGAAAAAGTAAGAAAGCAAGAAAAGGGTTAAAACCCTGAGATGGTAGCTGATGGGCTTGGACTTTGAAATGTACCAAATTCCAGGCAGCAATATTAAAAATAGGCATCCAGTGACCAAAAGAAAATTAAGGTACTGTTAACCCAGAGGAAGAGGCTGAAGATGTAGACTCCACAGTAGTCTGATTAAGGATAAGAAAGCTCCTTACCCAGGTCCGGGATGAAAGTTCGCTGCATGTTTCTCTTTGTGGTCGCAGAGGGTCACAATGAATCAGCATCCATTGGAGTTCAAACTAGCAGAGAAATAAAATCAGATTAATGTATTTCAGATGTGCAGTTTCCAGGTTGGAAGTTTCATAACAAAAATACTCTGGTCAGCCACCAGTGACTTTTAAAAGGTGCACTGTGAAAGGCACTGGATAGGATAATCCAATATTGTTTATTGTTTAACTGGCAAATGAATGGCTTGAGTCAGTTCTTGGAGCTTGCTTATTTAGAACAGAGCAGCCAGTTACCTTCAACTCTCCCCTCTCTCTACTGTCTGCATTAGAGAGAAGCATAAAACCTGTTATGGGAATTTAAGATGAAGCAAACCTCTAAGTCAGTCATGTCCAAGCATAGATTTTGCTTCTTAATTCATATACTGCAGATATGCCTTTATTAATGAACACACATTCTCAAAGGATTTCTTTGGAATTGGACAGTCTTATGAAGGAAGAATGACAGGTCTGAAGATGAATGCAGGAGTAGAAGATCTAAGCAAGAAGAATTCTAAAAGATCTGTATCATATTTAAACAAACAAAAGTCAGGCTGGCTGATATGCCTCTGTGAGATTTCATATGTTCTCCAAAAGTGTTACATTAGCTCTGCAATCTGGCCCAGAAATAAATCCACCTCTTTCTTTTCAAGAAACTAACTGGACCTCTATTTACATGTCTGAAAAATAAGTACCTTTTACTTATTTATTGAGGGAGATTAAGGGAGGTTTATAAGTACCCTCTACATACCTTTTACTGAAAACAGTAATGTGAATAGCTGAAATGAATGGCTTCAAAGGTATGTCCTCTTATATCTTTGGTACTGCATCGTATATCACATTTTGGGTGCATCCATGCACCATTTAGAATTATAACATCTCTTTTTGAAGTCTTAGATTCTTTCGTGTTCTACATGACCCCATGATGGTTCGTGAGGTTAACAAGTGGTCTAACTCATGATTTCTCATCCTGGATATCTCAAGCATGCCACGCACTGGCCAGGTACAGGCAATGGAGAGCCAAGTTTTTTTCTGTTACAAAATAGAGTCACATATGGAAAAATGGAGGTGTAGCCTGAGAGCCTCAATGCAGACTCTCTCTCTGCAACTTTGTTTACTAGTTTGATTCATGTTTGTCTTCCTTTTTCTTATTCTGGTTGAGGTAATGTATGTTCATTTCTTTGCTTCAACTTAAGGCTTCTTAGTCTTCTCTGCTTCTTCTGGGACATCTCATCTTCAATCTTGACGATAACATCTATGTTTTTAGCACTTACCTCGTATCTCCAGAACACTGCTAGACATTACCTTGACCTTGCTGTTATTGATATTTATTTGTTCTCCATTTTTGGTCCCTACACTTCAGGGTTTCCAAAATGCTGTCACTGAACTTCTTTTTTCCTTTTTCAAAGATGCAGCCAAGTAGTTTCCAATATCTAGTGCATTCACACTCATCATATGTATGAATCTATTTTAAAAATCTATTCTTCTAGTTTTCAAAACTCTTCATAGGCTCCATCTTTCCATACTGTCTATATTCATTTTCTTCCTGTGTAGCTTCTTTTGCTTTTCCAATACTGACTTCATCTCTGATTCAACCTTATCACACACCGTATTTGGAGGGGGGTGCTTTTTACCTC